GCATGGTTGATGTGGAAATACTTCGGTGTTACATAATATGTAACTTTCCAGTAAACGGCTTTGTGCTCTACGCAAACAGGAAAATATCGGCGGACCGAGGCGCACATGTCGTCTGCAGGTGAGGCCGAATTGAACATTGACATTGATACGTTTTGAGCCGATTTATTTCTTCAAACTTTTTATCGGTGATTTAATCATAAACTAGACCGTAGCTAAGATATATCTATATGCCGACTGTGACAGTAAATTTATTTAATGGCGACCTGAAACCTGTAGCAAATCACATGCAATTCTTGACGAAATACCTGACCTTTTTACCTGAGAATCTCCGTGTAAATATACAGCGTCTTATGTCAAAAATGAAGTTTATAATCTCTGTTATCATTTGCCAATCACATTTACGGACGAAAATAATTTTAAAATGATCTTCCTCTTGCTTAAATCCAATTAATTAAAAGTTTCACATTTTCTTACTTTTATTACCACCTGTACATGAATACTGAAGCAACTTAAGAATTGAAAACGTTAATATAAACTAGAGACAAAAACGAACAATTTTCATATAACTTTTTTTCACATATAACAAATATTTTCCAAGTTATGCACATTTGAAAAATCAAGTAAATTAAAATAAATTTCAATAATTAATTCAGCAGTGGTGTCCGTTTACATAGAAATCAATGAAGCAGCCTTAGGGTTAAGTCCATGCCTCAAACTAAATTTAGTTTTTTCAGGTTTTTTTTCCAAAATATGATATTTTCCTAATTTGTGCCAAATTTTGATATTTTCCCCAATTTCTGCTTTAAGGGCCCTTGCTCAAAAGTGCTGGCAAACCCCTGTCAGCCTAATGCCTAGTTATTAAGTACTAGCCGAGACATAGTCACAAAGTCGCTTGTCTGTAGTGTTGTCTGTGGTGCTAATGTAACTCGGACATAAAAGCAGCATTTTGCCCTGGTAACTCTCGTCTTAGACTAACCAGTTTCCTATTGGCTGGCTACAATTTATATTATCTCCTGATGTTTGGTTTGGTCTGCCATGAATCGACCAGTGTGATACTGCCATTTATAAATGAAGAATGCAAAAATGTGATTATGCATGCTATTTATTAGCTAACAAACTGTCCGGAAAAAGTTAAGTAAAAGTTGACAGATCTAGTACTGCAGTGGATCAAGTGTAAAGTGGATTGTAATTAGAAACTACCTGTCAAATCTGGATTATTTGTGGGTAGGGTAAACGTCGGATAACCTAAATTAAATATTGTCAATCCTGTTCAAATTACTGGAAATTATAAATGCTTATTTAAAAGACAAGTTCGAACGATGCAAAAAGTCCCCAAAAGACAGTGCAATACAGGTTTTCCCAGCATATTTTAGTTGCTGTTTATGAATGGACTTCAAATTTTGTATATATTTGCAGGGAGCACGGATGTCTATTAAGTCCATGCTTCAAACTAAATTTAGTTTTTATCCGCCCGTCAAATTTGACGGGAGTATTATGGTATGGCGTTGTCCGTCCGGTGCAAACTTTTGTTTGTCCGGCAATCTCCTCCTACGTTTTTTGACCGATCTCTTTGAAACTTGGTATACATTATAATCAAGATATGAAGTGGTCTCCCTTAAAAGAATTTTCATTCAACAATTTTTTCAAAAGTTATTGCCCTTTGTTCATTTCAGTATTTGATTTTTGTCCGGCAATCTCCTCCTACATTTTTCAACGGATCTCTTTGAAACTTTGTATACATTATAAGTGTGATATGAAATTGTGTTTCCCATATAAAAAATTGGATGCAACAATTTTTGCAAAAGTTATTGCCGTTTGTTCATTTCAGTATTTGATTTTTTGTCCGGAGATCTTCTCCTACATTCTTCGACAGATTTCTTTGAAACTTAGTAGGCTAAATAATCATGATATGTTGTTGTTTCCTTGAAAAGAATTTTGGTTCGACAATTTTTGCAAAAGTTATTGCCCTTTGTTCATTTCAGTATTTGATTATTTTATCCGGAGATTTTCTCCTACATTTTTAGGTCACATGAGACTCAAGTGACCTATTGCGATCGCCTTTTGTCCGACGTCGTCCGGCGTGCGTCCGTAAACAATTTACATTTTCGACTTCTTCTCCAAAACCCCGGAACCAATTTCAATGAAATTTTGCAGTGACCTTCCATGGACAAAGGTCAACAAAAATAGTGGCCAGTTCAGTCCCAAGCCCCCAAGGGCCTGAGGGGCGGGGCCAAAAGGGGTCAAATTTCAAAAATCTTCTTCTCAAGACCCAGATATGGTAGAATCAAATATTCTTCATAGATGGAAGGGTCTTAAGGTTTATGACCCTAGGGTCTCACGTTTACCCCCTGGGGAAGGAGGGGGGCAAAATTTATTATGATTTATAATGGCAAATGATACTTTGAATATTACATGGTAATAACTTGATTGGAATTATAACCTTGAGTTGACAGTTTGATACTTTGAAAATTTTGAGCCAGCCCTACCCCCAAGGGCTGTAGGGTGGGGCTCAAAGGAGTCGGTGTGCTAAAATTTTTCATTTTCCTTGTTTAGAATCGAAGGTGCTAGTTTCCAATACTTTTTAGTCTGAAATCTGTATGCTAGATATTGAATAAGGTGGTTTTATTGTTTTTTGTCACTTTGAATAATATTTCTGTTCATGATAAAAACAAAATCAACTCTCTGTATAAATATATCAGGTGACCGTTAAGGCCAATGGGCCTCTTGTTATAGTATGTCGGCTAACCACTCTTTGAATGATGCAGATCTTATTTCAATGTGAGAAAGTATATAACACTTATGGCATTGGACGGGCGTATACAAAATCAACTCTCTGTACTCTTGTTTGGATTTTTTTTACAAATTATGATATTTTCCTAATATTATGATATTTTCCTAATTTGTGCGAAATGTTGATATTTTCCCCAATTTCTGCTTTAAGGGCCCTTGCTCAAAAGTGCTGGCAAACCCCTGCCAGCCTAATGCCTAGTTATTAATTACTAGCCGAGACATAGAGTCACCAAGTGGCTTGTCTGTAGTGTCTGTGGTGCTAATGTAACTCGGACATAAAAGCAGCATTTTGCCCTGGTCACTCTCGTCTTAGACTGACCAGTTTCCTATTGGCTGGCTACAATACATTAACATTTTTATGATTTTGATCATTATTGGCTGAACATTGGATATTATAAGAAAATGAAAATCAAATAACTGATTGTATTATGTAATAGTCAGTAGTTGATTAGAGTTGTTTTGAACATTGAACCAGGTGGCCAAGATGGTGTCCAAGTATTTCCAGGACCTGGAGCAAAAGGAGATCAGAGCAGAAAAGGAGGAGGCACAGAAACTCAAGAGGATAGCTGGACAGATTGCCAAACAGGTCCGCGAATTCTGGACAAATGTAGAAAAGGTACGTTTGATAGGAGGGTAAGTTTTGGGCAAATTTTTCTGTATTTTTAGGTCACCTGAGCTTTAGCTCAAGTGACCTATTGCTATCCGTTTTCGTCCGTCGTCCGTTGACATTTTACATTTCAAACTTAAAAGTCAAGTTCTGCTGGGCCGATTGAACTGAAAGTTGGTAGGAATGATCGACTCATGGTCCTGACAAAGTGCTGTTATTTTTCGGGTCAATCAGAAATACAATTTGGCCGCCACGGCCGCCATTTTTAGCTCACTTGGCACAAAGTGCCAAGTGAGCTTATGCCGTGGCGCGGCGTCCGTCGTCCGTCCGCCGTCAATATTTTACTTTAAACGACTTCTTCTTAATAACCAAAAGGCCTAGGGTGTTGATATTTGGCCAGAAGCAAACTGGGATGAAGGGCTACAAAGTTTGTTAAAATGAATGACCTTCACCCATTTTCAAGGTCACAGGGGTCAAATATGTTAAAAACTTTAAA